GCTGTATAGATAGTCTATATTTTATAATATTAGTATACGTTTAAAAATACAAACATAAGAGGTCAGTTAAACAAAATAATTTAAAAGATTTGAAAATATTTAAAAAAAAAATAAACCAAGAAATACCACGCGAGTGCTCTTGCCTTAAAAAAAAATGATATATTAATAGTCTATGGTCGTATTTGTAGCGACGAAACTAAGCAGCGACAATTCTAATGAGATACGCTTGACAGATTGGAGATATTTCCGGTGCAAGCTTTTTTTTAACAGCTCTATTGTGTTTCGTCACATTGTCCAAATTTGTAATATGTATAAACTATATAAAAGTAAAAATATATTACATATTAATATATTTTTTTAAATTGTTAAATAACAAGTAAGCACTTGTTACTTATTTAGAATTTTGGAAGATATTACTTTTTAAAACTTATAAAGACTACAATATAAGAATAAATAGTTAATAATATTTTTTTAGAGCCTGCGTTTGTATATCGATGTCAATCAATCAATTAGGTGCCACTGAGTAGTAGATGTGTGAAGCAGTTTAATTATATTGCCAGACATTTACTTTGCGGCATTTTATAATAACTAGAAAACATTATCTCTCATAACACCTATACGTTATTTATTATGTAGGACTCTTGATACTTTCTTAGATTTACGCGAATATTTGACAATTAAAAAAAACTATCTTTTCGGATTTATTGCGGACTTATTTTTATTTTTTGTTCCCGAAGTTTCGCATGCTTTATAGCAATCATGGTCACGGGAGAGACTAAGGTTTTAGATGTCTCAAAGGCATTACATAGTTGTTACAGACAACCTAACAAAAATAACAAAATGAATAAAAAATAGTGAAATAACAAAATGAATTAAAAAAAAATGAAAAATGACACCAAATTATCTTACAATATTTATTAATTTTAATTTTAAACATTTTTATTATTTTAATAAGTTTTGTAATTGACTATGTAGGACTCTATGTAATACGTTACAGTCACTTTTATTTCCCCTTTTCGCAGTATATCATGAAGGTATATTATATAGATGAAATTTAATTACGTTTCAAGGAAGACCAAATTCTCACAGTATATTTTGCTCCAAGACCGTCCTGCTGTTTTATTTTAATATTCTGATTCGATTCTCTGTTCGGCTGTCGGAACATAACAGTATATATCAAAATTAACTTCAGCAATCTCACGTAAAAAATAACTATATAATATTACACTTAAATATAAAATATATTTTCGTTTGTCACTAAAATGCATCCCTCCCTGTACAGCTGTGGAATATCTAAAATATAGTTCCACCGTCGTAAGTGACAAGCGAAGCGATTTCTAATTAGTGCAGACAGGTTTGTGACAGCAAGAATCTCCATATTACAGTTTGTTTTAGGACATTTTCATAGAATATTTTGTAAGTCACCTATGTACATTACTAGCGATTTAGCCTCGCTTCCCTTGAATGTTTCCTTAGGTGCCTAACCTGTGTGTTACTCCAGATCATAGTTTTTTTGTGTACTAATTTTCATCCAAATCTGTCCAACAAACATACACACACGTACAAACTTTTGCATAGGTAATAAGTATTGAGATAAATATTACGTTAGTTAATCCAAAGAATTAAGCATTATTTACTTTTTTATTTTGATTTTATAAGCATAGATAACAATAATTGATTTAATTGTTATTTTCGTGGCGTGTCTCAATTGGACAGGTTTGGTTTATGTCAGTTCGAATATAAGGACCTACACTAAGCAGAAAAGCTCTTTGTTAAATCGATAAAAAATCACTAGTTGTTTATGGTAACCCTAGTAACAAAAGACAGGTGACTTTTGGCAGCATGCCATAGACTTTTTTTACTTCCGTTTTCCCTATGGTGACTATGAATTTTAATTGACATATGGAATCCTCTCTTGGGCTTCACTTATAAATTAATACTGTATAAAACTTACAAATAACCAATATTTATTTTTATTTATTTTTCAACTTAATGTTTCTATATAACACATGTAGGTAGGTAGTGGGTAATGTGTCGAAGAATTTTTAACTAATAACACTATTATCCATACTAATATTATAAATGTGACAGTTTGTGAGGATGGATGAATGGATATTTCTTACTCTTTTACGCCAGAACGGCTTAACGGATCTGGATGAGGCACAGAGATAGATTATACTCGTAGTCTGAAATAGCACATAGGTTACTTTTATCCCGGAAAAGTGTACGTTTCTCGTGGGATAGATTTGTTTTAGCCTAGGGACGAACCCAAAGCCAAGCAAGGGTGAGCCGCTAGTAATATAAAAAGAAGAAGTTCTATTTCCACTGTTAGCAATAAGTACATAATACTATGTCGCCATAATTTCAACGATGTATCTATAGTTTTTTTAAATTACATTTTGTAGAAAAACTTTGACATTTACACACAGTACAAAGTAGTTTAAACGTAATCATGTTACGGACTTAATAAAAATGACATAATATGAAGTGGAACTCACAAAACCTGTCACTGGATTATATTTTATAACTCAATTTATTCACCGGGTCAGTGGGCCAGCATGTTGCTAGGTTACCAAAGGAAACACATGAAAGAAAATACAACGATATACTTTGTAAAAGCATCTGACAAACAATATATTATACAAAGTTTAAAAGTGAAAAGAGTAATATTAATTAATTTAATCAACTTAAAGATTATAAGACGCCTGGGCGAATATCGGGTATACATATTAATATTTAAATATAAATTTAAAAAAATATATATGATGTAAGACAAACAAAATTTTAATATGATTAAAAATAATAATGATTCCTTAAACACTTGTTATGATAAAAAAAATGACTCAAATCAATACAACAACAGTAATAAAACGCGCCATAATTATCTTTTTTTTAATGAGCTATTAAATTTATTTGGCACAAAACAAGCACTCTTTCAGCCACAATTTAATAAGTTATTATATAAAATTATCTTTGCTTATTGCAACAGATCTTATTATAACAGCTCTTCAATAACCACACCCAACCGTTGCACAAGGTGGAAAGATATATTTAAAATGCATCAAGTAGCGTAAATTGGAACGCATCTAGTGTTTCAAAGCGTTGCAAGAGGAAATGAACGGCAAATAAACAATTTAGACCGAAACGAATTCCATTAAAAGTCGGAAGATCTAAACTAAATCATTTTATGTTGATTGAAATTAAACATATTTGAACATTTCACAACATAATTAATTATTTACAATGAAAGTTTCTTTTTTAACCGATTTCCAAAAAGGAGGAGGTTATCAATTCGTCGGAACCTTTTTTTTATGTATGTTCACCGATTACTCGAAGACGCCTGAATCGATTTGGATTTTTTTTGTTTCAAATGGTATACTTCCCAGGTGGTCCCATATAAATTTTATCGAAATCGGTCGAGCGGTTTTTAAAAAAATCAACAATAAACATATTTTTTTAATAAATTGTTTAATCGAATATGTTATTAAAAAAACTTTCTTTTACAAATTACATGTTTATTACGTCTACACTAAAAATGGAAAAATTAAAACTTAAAAAAAACCGACTTCCAGGCACTAAAATGTAAAAAAGAACTAGACGGAGGTTTTCATTTATTTATTAGTGTAGAATGTTTTTATCTTTTCAGATTAATATTATTTTTGTTTTAGTTATTGCGTACAATAACTTCAAACTCATTAGAGTTTTTATAATGTTTGGGCTTGCAATTCAAATTAACTTCCTTTAATAGGGTTTTTTTATACGTACTAAGACATCACATATTATGCACGTGAAACGAATTTTCTTTATTATTTTTACGGTGTAGTTTTGAGCATAAAATGAAATGCCACGATCATGTGGTCGGCTATCAAATATTATTATCTTACTAATATTATAAATGTGAAAGTTTAAATCTTTGAATATTTGGATGTTTGTTACTCAATCACCCCAGAACGGCTGAACGGATCTGGATGTAATTTATCACAGAGATAGATTATAGTTTAAAATAGTACATAGGCTATTTTTTATCCCGGAAAAATGTACGATTCCCGTGGGATAGAATTATTTTTGTTTTTTTAAAGAAAGAAGAGATGGTGAGCCGCTAGTTATTAATTAATAATTAAGATTTTAAATTCTTTCATGTTATAAATTTCGATCCAATATTCATTTGACATATAATAAAATTTGCATATTATATGTTAATTAATTTGAGGATTTTCGCAACAAATCAGATCTCATAAAAAACAACATTCATTATAACAGATTGTAATAAATCTCTAACATAATAACAGTAGATGTCGACACCATTAACAATTAAGTCAATTATGGTAAACTCCATATTGGTTGCATGTTAAATGAAAACAATGAAAAAAACTTGAAACGCATTAACTTTAAGACATTTTAAATGAAATATAATAACGAGTCCGAAGAAACAAATTACTAGGTATAGTAAATTTAATAGCCTTTTAAATATAAAGATCGTTAACCTTGTGGCACACTTGAAGTTATACCTTATTTTCGTTGAATTCTATAGAATAGTAAATTCATTTAGCAAACGATCTCGTAAGAGTCATGGTGAGTGTAGGTTTGATTATGGTTTTGGGTAGTTTGTTTATTTATATTTCTATAATATGTCTTTCGATCAAATTCGATCAGAACCAAAGCGTTTTAACTTTAATTTTTTCTTATAAAATATACATATTTTTAAATCAGACATAGAAATAAAATTTATGCAATTATTATAATTGTAAAATTATTTCAAATTGTTTTTGCGCGAACTCAGACAGGTTGATATACACTTACAATAACAGCCAATATATGTGGTTTATAGTTTACAATTTTACCATCGTTAAATATTTAATGACGATAAGAAAGATATGTGAGAAACATAAGATATATTCCAACGAGTAAAATGGATAATTTAGTATCTCTTCTGTTACAAAACTTAACAAGTTAACATGAAAACTTATTAAAAAAAAAGAATAATCTTTGAAAAAACCTACCTCGACAACTTGTCGCAGATCCTCGACGTACACGTTTTCAGTTTGTACTATTTCTGCGCAAACACGTTCTAATTGTGACAACCCCGACATTTCCTCAAAAGTGTGTTGTCCTGAAACAAAATATTTGAAATTACAATTTAATTAGACATACACACATAATTCATTCAAATGAGATAACATAATTTTCATATTACTATACTAGCGACTCACCCTCGCTTCGCTCGGTTTTAACGGCTAGTATGGAATAAATAAAAAAATATATATTATATATAGCCTATAACCTTCCTCAATAAACGGGCTATCTAATGCAAAAAGAATTTTTAAAATCGGATTCGTAGTTCCTGAGATTAACGCGCTCAAACAAACAAACTCTGCCTCTTTATCTTTAGTATAGATAAAAATATAAAAAAAAATATATGACTACTCGGTCGTAACTTTTTCACTGCTGTTGCTAGTTATCTAACATTTAAAATAAATGTTTAATCAACGTATTCATATAATTATTAGTACATGTATATCTGAGTACCTATACGTAACTGGTATTACCTGGTAAGCCAGAGGTCAGCAATACTGTTTGTCAGAACTTTTATGTAGCTCGACATCAAACTTCGTACAAAATACTTGATATATAGCATACTTCACAGATTTAACTGTCGAGTTACATAAAAGTTCTTACAGAATATCAGAACTGGTTCGATTCTAGGATAAAACTTTTTTGTCCATACTTAAGTTTGTTCCGGTGCGGTTAACCACATTTTTAGAAAATAATCTATTAGTTACTGCACATAAAAATGAACTATTGCGGTATTGGAAATGCGGTGCAGAATAAGTTAGAAATCAGTGTGCCTTTTTATATATATGGGTAACAAAAAGACATGAATAATTTTACTTACTTAAAATTTCTGTTCGGCTTTCCTCCGACGCACTAGTTTTTATCCCAGCATTATTTACAAAGATGTTACTTCCGTTTGCTGATGTTATATCTACGTCACTGTGGTCATCTAAACTCTCGATTGAAGCTAAGTATGCAGAATTCACACCGCCTTTGTTTTGAACACCACTACTTGATGTCGAGCTAGATGATGCTATAGAACTCATCGATAGCGGTCTCGTCACTTCGATAGGAGGGTTTAATCTGATTACTTCTTTTTCCTGAATTATTTTCAGATTTCCGGTAGACGCTACCGCCTCAGGATACGGTCGAGTTTTTAATAGTTTATTTGGAGAATCCTCGGTTTTTACCACAAAATCCTTTCTGTGTAAACTATTTGTTCCATTGTTGACAGTTTTGGAAAATTTCGCTGGAGAAATTTCAGGCGTTGAGGTTTTTATCTCGGGCTTCAATGGCGATTTTGGGGAAACTTTTGTATCAAACTCTCTATCGTTCGAGGATATAGAGAGCTCGATAGATTGGTCGATAAAGGGTAAGGAGAGCGATTCGAATGCGGTTTTATTTGGATTAGGCACATCGTAAATAGCGGGCATGTTATTTGTCGGTACATCGTATGTCGTTTGCTCATCATCTATTTTAAATACCGGTTTAAGAGGAATTGTTTTGGCAGGTGATTCATTATTGAATTTAATTGGTTGATCATAAATTTCTACAGACGGCAAAATCTCAAGTCCAGATTGAGATATTTTTGAAGTTGCCCCTACTAAGGGTATATTACATCGTCTAGTCGAAGACCTACCTATAGTGACACTTCTCTTTTGAAACTTCAACGTGGTAGGCTCCGCTGCACTCGATATCATACGCTTGACGTTAGGTGATAAATTATCAAACGCTGTTTCTTTTTCTTTAAACGTCCTTTGCACTTTGATTTCACTGGATAATTCACATTTTTCAGTAGCACCATTATTATCACTTTTAGTTCGTAAATTATAAAGAGAACTTTTGTTAATCGATGCGATGGGTAGTTTAACACTGCCAGCTATTCTGGAAGGGTCTCTCGGTGGGCTTGCCAACACTGTTTCGTTTTCTTCTGTCATTGTGATTTGAGTAATGTTTTGTACTGGTGGATCATTTCTCGCATCTTTGGCAGTTTCAAGACGATTGGCTTCAGGTCTAAGACTCTTTGGTGGCTCCAAAAGGGAGTCGTATATTCCGATCAGAGTAGGTGTTAAGTCTGTCGTACTGCCTGTAAACAAAGAAAAATTATGGTAACTAAAGTGGCAAATATTACAAATCAAATATATAATATCTCTATATACAAAAAATGGGCAAAAACAAAATGGTTAATTTTTCTCCTCTATTTGTTAATTTTCTTTTTTTAGAGCTATTGACGAGCTGTAATATTATTAATAAAAAACATTTAGTTTTTTATATACATAGATAGGTAAATTCTATTCATAGATATATGTTTCCCTTAAATTTTCAATAATTATTATGATAAAATTTCGACTGTATATATATATAGACTATTTACATAAAAGCACCTAAGGATAAAAAAAACATGTCTATAAATAAACAAATTACAATCACAACACACAAAAAGCATTTGATTTTTATCGTTAACGTCAGGATTATGTCATTCTTTAACAAAAAGGCTTTTTGTTAGAGAATGGAATCTTGTTGAAATGGTAGTGATGACTAGACGATGTTTTATTTGAAACAAAAAATTTTACTTTGCTATTGCTAACCAACCAACTTCAAAGAAAGAAGGTTTTTTATTCACATTAAATTAGTTCAACGATACGTTAAAATATTACACATTCCTTATATAGAAGGCTTTTTTGAAGTAAATAACATCATTTTTTTTTTTCTTTTTTTTTTTTTTAACGTTGGGAAATGCATTTACGCACGACGTGTGGGACTCACCGGCGTAATACAGCCAGTACTACCCACTAAAACCCAACAAAACCTTCCCCCGTCTTAATGGGGCGTCGCAGGATCGCTTACGCATTCAACTACGACGCCCCGACGGCAGGTCTGCCAAAGCAGACCACCACAACCATGGGGTTGCTCCAAGGTCCACTCTGCTATCAGAGAAGTACCAGGAGCAACCCGCATGGTTCACCGCCCCCCGAAGAGGGCCAAGTAAATAACATCTAGTTTAACTTTTTGCATTATTTTTAAATAGCTAGATATAACACCATTATTGAACATAAAAGTTTTATTTTTATAAGAATAAAATTAATAATTATTATATCGCTTTATATCAGCTATTAATACGTATATATTTTTTTTATTTTAAGTTAAATCATCACACGATATAAAGACGGTTTTTAAAAAAATATCTAACGAACTTAAGAATAAAAACAAAAATAAACAAATTATTACTTTCAGGTTATTTCATCTAAGTTCGAAATATCAAAGTTGTGACTAAGCCGCATTTCAAATTAATTTTCCACTTATCTATTCTATAATTCAACTCCTAATCGAATTTATTTAGGTACTTTAGTGCTAGTAATAAAAACTTATATGGCTATTTAAGTGTTATTGCCCGTATGGTGTATTGAGTTATCGTTCAAAATAATTTCGTTACAAGTACAATCTACGACGTTTCCTTATTGGAAATCTTTTTAAAACGAATATCTATAGTTATGTCTCAGAATTGTTTGGCTCAGTTTGTAGCGACCCTACTTACTGTGCCAGTGGTCGCGGGTTCGAGTCCCGCTGGGGGCATTCATTAGTGTCATGAGCACTAATATTTGTACTCTAGTCATGGGTGTTCATATTTATAATATGTATGTATTTAAAGTTATATATGTGTAGTGTACCATCTATCTGGTATCCATAACACAGGCCTCGTAATTTACCATGGAACTAGATGGTACTGTATGTTAATGTCCCAGCATATTTATTTATTATTTGTTTATTTATGTCTAGATTAGCGACTTAACCTTGCTTCGCTCGGGTGTTCCCCTAGGTGTCTGACTGTGGCCATTAATAGTTTTACTCCAGGTCATAAACTATCTATGTTCTAAACTTCATCCTAATCTGTCCAGCCGTTTCAGAGTGAAGGAGTCACAAACAGACACAAATAAACATACAAACTCATGCATTTATTATAGAAATATATGAAATCTTATACAATTCCATTGCGATTTCTCCTAAGAAAATGTTATGATTGATGAGTTAAGGGAAATTAGGTTATACATTGATTGTCTTAATATTAGAAAGAAATTGTGAAAGAAATGGTGAAACTTTCCTAGCACATAGCAAGAAATTGCAGACATAAATAATATCGTCAGTACTTATTACTTAATAATATTATTTTACTAATGTCGCACCCGCGCATCTTTTAGTCTCTCCTCTAGCTCTTTTTTTTTATTCTAATTTCCATCCCATTTCTAAATGGGCTCACTCTTGACCTTTATCTTAGCTCGAAGGCACAACAGATAAGGTCTACGATCTAGCGAGTTTGCCCAGGAGAAGCCTGTTAACACACAAGCTCAAGCCCGAAAAAAAAAAAAAAACTGCACCAAAAAAAAAAAAAGGCTTCATCATCTTCTAAATTACTGATATACTGTTTGTTCTTACTATTTTACTTATTATTTTCTTAATATACCTATTGTGGTAAGTAATGTCGAATCCTGCGACAGTCACTAAATGGATCGGAATATAAAGCATATGACATCCAATATGCGATATTTCACTACCACTCATGTAAAAGCTATAAAAGCTAAAAAGCTCATCTCCTAATTTAGAAGGCGACTTAACAAGGCAGAGTTTATTCCACTTTATTTTAATCTACACATGTTGGTGGGGGTTCGACGATACGTTTCTGTCGACAAATGACAAGGTCAAGATACATAATAATTACCAAGATGGACATTAGTACCGCCTGCATTGCTCGGAAATCGAATATCAGACCTAGTTAAACTTAACGGATACACTTTTAAAAATTGTAATTTTTTAAGCTTTCACAGGCATTCGTTACATTAAATACAATTCTTTTATTTCGTGGCTTCTAGGAATGCCAGTTGGGCACATTTTACTCCGCTAATGTCACGTAGAATTCGCAAGATTTTGAAGACCCAACAACTAGCAGCAAGTGTCAAGTGTTAATGGTAAAGCGAACTAATTAAAAATTAAATTACATAAAAAACTGCGTAAAATGTAAACTAAAAATATAGAAACAAGATGACTTAGGAATATAGTATTGTATTAGATATAAATACGACAGTGTGTTAGGGGTTTTTCCATTTCCACACACCATTATTATTGTTTAAATTACTTCATGAGCCAAAGAGTTACATCAGCTTTTTTTATCCCTGCACATGAAATGATTCAAAATGAAAATTACTTAAAGAAGATATTTTATAGCCACTTATGAAATGTCAACTAAATTTAAAAATATCCAGCTAGCCCGCCCGTGAGGAGGGTACCTCTGGCTTTGAATGCGAGATTTGTATATATCTATATCTAATATCATGAAATTTAGCACACAGGGTGTTTCGGAGACGGTAAATCGATCTAGATTAGTCTTATGTCTGAGAAAACGCGTGTTTTCGAGTTTTATGCAGTTTTCTTTTGCTATTCCACTCAAAATATGGTCGGTAATTTGCACGCTCGGGAATAAGCATCGTGGTCAAGCGGCCAAGGTGCAAGATCAACAATCACAGGTGTCCAGGTTCGAATCTCGGTCGCATAGAAAGTTTTTACTTTTATTTTTAATATTTAATCGAGTTTTTAGTTTTTTTTAAAAAAAAGACACAAGATTGACAATCATAGGTGTCCGGGTTCGAATCCCGGTCGTATACAAAGGTATAATTTATTTTTGTTTTTTTTTGTATTTATTCAACTTTTTTGTTTTTTTTTTAAAGAAAATTGTACTTGTCAACCAAAAACTCCGAGCGAAGCTCGGTGGCCCAAGTACTACTATATATAAATAGGCAAAGACAAAACAGTTCAATACCTTTTTCTCCTCTGTTTATCAACCGAATTTTCTTTTTTTTTATTTAGTACCTAGCTAAAAATTATGGAAACAGTTAGTTTTTTTATATATATAGGTAAATTTTATCCATATGTTTTCTTCAAATTTTCAATAATGATTTTGGTCGAATTTTGATCACTTAGCGAACACTAGTTACAAATTACAATGAAATACAATTGCTATTTATAAGTAGAAAATTATTTCATACTTTTTAAATAGGGTACAAAGTTGTAGGTACAAAGTATGCTTCGCCATGACTTTAAAATTATCATTTCATCCTTAAAAATGGCGTTTCTTCGAACAAAAAAAAAATTGAGACTGCTTGAGAAGTAGAAGATCATCTTCTACTGATGAAGATGTTCATTACAATATATATATCGCGACTGTTTAAGGTGTAACAGCACACAGTCTATTATTTTATACAGAGTCACCTCAAACGACATCACAAAAAGAAAGACGTAGGTAGGTATTGCTTAATTAAAGTCATAAAACCAAACACAATGCTGTTCCCGCCCTTTTTCCACTCAAGATGACAAATCCAGAAAACTCAAGTATTTTATATCAGAATGACAATTTAAAGAATCAAATAATTAATTTACAATTACATTATTAATTTAAATCTAAGAAAGTATTACAATAATACATATAAATCTTTTTTCTATATAATTAATAATTTTATATTATTATTAGTAACACTCGAATAGTGTACCTTCTTTTTGAAGTCGGTAAATCATCTACAAGCTGTAACTTGTGACCTATAAAATAATAGAGCGGCCTATTTAATTTGCTAGATCTATTACGACATTATTTGGGATCTCAAGCAGCTGACTGCTCCGGAAGCGCCTTATTGTTAAGGGCAGAGATCATAGATAAGTAGAGTCAGTAAAATAATAATGCCATTGATAATATAAAATGTAGAGTTTTGTGACACATAAATATAATAATGTAACAGATTATATTATGAAAGTATAGATAAGTTTTTGCGTAGGCAGTGAAAATAAATCTCAAAGACGATGATGATAATAAAAAAACATTTTTCGATTTATTTTATGGATGTGTTAAAAATGAAAGATTTTTTTTAATATAAATTAACATATAATACGAAAAAATAAAATAGAAAAGAAATTTAATATGTATTAAGTATTATATTATTATGAGTTTAGATTTATTATGCCGACTGTACCCAATTTCAAAGAGTAGCATTAACAACTTATATTGTAAAAGGTTCATATTTGGAGAATGACAATATGCTTTAGACAATTTGCAAATTTACATTCGTTTTACGTACGTAAGGTTTCATTAAAATCCTTTCAGTAGTTTTTGATTGAAAGAGTAACAAACATCCATACACTCAAACTTTCGCATTTATAATATAGATAAATTACAAGTCTATTACTGCTACATATCCTAACTGTATATCGATTCCAGTAACAGATAGTACTCTCCACATGTTGCGCTCAATTACAATATATGACCATCACTTTCGTCTAGTTAGCGTCGACGGTATCGAAATTTATGCTTAGACTAAACCTTGTTCATAAACTATAATTTTCTTCCGTTCCATATTCTTTAATCATGCTTAGTTGAACTAAAATGCCGTTAAACGTACTTACGCAAATATGTAGGCGTCAAATCTTATATAAAAGGCTACATGACAGACAGAAACTATAATTTCCAGTCTAAAATATTATTCAGAATAATAAAGGCATAATTAAGTTATTTTAAATGTCAAATATTATGAGATAATACAAACTTTTAGTTGTCAATGTAATGACACCAAACTGTTGGACTTGAAAAACAGAACAAAAGTTTTGTTAGGAGTTTCCCAATTACCTATCGATTTTCGATTTCTTTGCTTTTCCGTACCTGCTAGTGATCTACATTTGACATAAGCTCTATACAAATTATGTCAAAAATTTTAGTAAAAATATTCTACGTGGCATTGGCGAAGTAAATTATGTCCACCTGGCACTCCTAGAAGCCACAAAATAAAAGAATTGAATTGAATTAGTAAAAATTACCGCAGACAGATAGGTTATTGGAATTCCCTATCAATAACATGTTAAGTAGGTGTTAAAACTAATTTTAATTTTGGAAATATTATTTTCGTTAATATTAAGTACAAGCAGTACCTATTGGTAGTATACTTAATAGTATTTGATTTTTGGTACAAAATTTTTATTTTACTAATTAACTATCAGCTCACCCTCGCTTCGCCCGGGTTCGTCCCTGGTGAAAAGCAAAAACAAATCTATCCTACAGGAACAGTGCATTTTTCTGGGATAAAAAGTAGCCTATGTTCTATTCCAGACTATAGTCTATCACTGTGCTAAATTTCATATAGATTCGTTCAGCTATTCTGGCGTGAAACAAACAAACATCCATCCATCCAAACTTTTCATTTATATTTTATATTATATGTATAGTAGCAAGATATTTGATAAGTTATTAGGTAGCAAGCATTATATAAGTAGACAAACTCAGCACGAAATACACGTACGTATACTATTTACTACAATCTAGGACAGTATGGAAAACGGATGTACAGTATCATATGATTTAGTCGCGGATGGACCTTAATTTTGTAATGCGAAATGTGAATAACTGATTTGTCACGTTTTGTAATGAAATGAGAGTAGAATGTTCTAGCATCATGGTTAAGTGAAAAAGTTCTTCCTTAAAATTAGTAAACGTAAAATATTGTTAAGGCAGCGGTAGACCAGTGGTAACGTGTTCACTTGAGGAACCTAG